GTATTTTATATAGCATTGTAGTGAAAAAACTTCTAAGATTTTAATTCTATCTGTTGAACATAGTGAATTTTCATAGTATGATTCAGTTATGCTAATTTTTTTTTTTATTTATTAGAACAAAAAATTTATATCAACAAAAGATGAAGAAAAGACTTTAAACAAAATTTAATTTTATTTTTTTTATAAGTTATGATAAAAGTGCTTATAGAAGAATATTCAACAAAATAGAAAATAATATTTAAAAACTTTTGTATATAGAAAAATATATTTAATCTTTGTATAGAAAAAAATTGTTTAATAAAACTAAATTTTTATTTTATTATAATTATCACTTATAGTTTGATTTTTTTTAATATAAGTAAATAAAATACTTGGTATATAGTTCTCAAGTATTTTATTTAAAAGTAATTAATAATAAGATTAAAATAGTCACAGCTAGATATGAGTATAGCAAGGTGTATATTACTATCTAAGAATATAAGATAGAAGAAAACAAAATACAAAAACCTAGAAGCTGAAGTATTGCAATATGCAAAAAAACTGAAGCTAAGTGTTGCAGAAAATAAATTTACTGTATACTAGCAAAATAATGCTCATGAGTATTATTTTGAAATTTGCCTTCTTAAAAAATACCAAATTTGGTTCAAAATAACATGTATGTGCGTTCTGAAATAACACGCACTCAAATAATTTATAATAAATAAATTTACTATAATCAAAAATTTTAATTTATTCGATTTTACTTATTCAAAAAAATTTTATTTTAATATACATTTCGCTTTAGAATATAATGTAGTTTAATAATAATAGTGTAGCTATGCATATCTATTTTATATTAGTAGGCCCTAACTACCAAATATCTTTTTTAATAAGACAAATGATTTAATATTATATGAATTTCTGAGTTATTTTAACTCAACATATGATCTTGTAGCTAGACAATATTTAATATGATCTTTTTAATACTATATGTAGTATATACATTTTCTAATTCACTGTTCTCTAATTTACATTTTTTAATCCAAACAAACTACCAAAATTAAGATGCATACTGACCAAAACTTAGAATTAGGATTTATAAAAATGAGATGATATTAAGTAATAAAACCAGCAAACGATATGACAAATTTTATTTTATAACTACAAATCATATGTTGAACTAAATAATTCGAGTTAAAATAGAACTATTCTATATATCACATGCTAAGTTAAAATAACTCGAGTTAAAATAAAATTATACAATATTAGTAAACTAAAATTTAGTAAAGATAGATTGTATATATTATTAATAGTTAAAAGCTAAGCATTTATTTTTAAAATTCAGAATTATTTGTTTAATTATGCGATAAGTTTGTGTTTTTTTTTTTGCTTATTTAGTTTGAACTACATACCACCTTTAAGTTGTTTTCTAATTATAAATTTTACTATTGACAGAAAAAATTACAGCTTTGACAAATCTATTATTAGTGAACGGTTAGCTAAAATCAAGTAAATATTAGCACAAAAAAAAAAAAAAAAAAAAGCTTTACTTACTGTCAATTTTAGATTACTTCATCAATATCTATTAAATCTATATCCAATATTTCATTATCTGTTACATTTTCAGCACTGAGCTCATCATCAAAATCTGATTCACTTCTTGAAAATACAACTTCACTTTTACTTTCATTGTTTTCTTCAACTTCAACATTTTCTTTACCTTCGCCTTTATTATTTTCTTCACTTTCTTTGTTCAACAATTCATTCATATTGCTCATACAATTTCTAACTATAGCTTTAAGACAGCTTGACATTTTATTATCTTCACTGCTATCGGGATTGAGCACAAGTCCAGCTGATTCAAATGATTTGATCAAAAAATTCTTACTAATTTCCTTCCAAGTTTCAGATAACCATTTGCAAATAAGCTCATACGAAGCTTTTTTGCAGATTTCTTTTTTAGTAAATTCTTTTTCACTTTCATCAATCTATTCATCCCACCTTTTTCTCATTTCACTTTTAAAAGGTTTGTTTACTGAAACATCTGGTAGTTGCAAAATACAAGTCATTCCTCTAGGTATTTCCAAGACATCTAGGCCTTCTACATTTAATACTTTAACTATATCACCATGTGTATGACTGCGATGACTATTAACAAAAATTATACCTTTGCTTTTAAAAAATCCTTCTAGCCTTGCATGTATAACTCGTGGAATATAAGTAGAAATCATTAATTCTATTTACATATTTGCACAGGGTGCTGTTGCCAAAACAATATCTCGCAAGAATTTACCTTTAGGTTTTCTTTTTAGCTTAAAAATCACTGCTAGTAGAAGCTTATCTTCAGAAACCATATAATCTAAAACTACTGTGAAATGTAACTTGTCATTTCCTGTACTTCTAATTGCTACTTCACGAACACCTTGAAAGTCAAAAGTTAAACTCTGAGGTATATCGAACCAAACTGGTATCTTGTCAAAAGAAATGATAAGTTTTTTTTCTACATTCTTTGTTTTTTCACATGCAACTTGAAGGAAGTTACTAACCACTAAGGGCATATCTTCAGGAAACTTTTGTGTATTTTGAGTTCAAACATATATTACTAAATCATGCCAACTTCTAAAACATTCAATCTATTCGCGAGAAAACTTTGCATCAATGCCTAAAGATTTTCCCAACTCTTTTGCCTTTTTTTCAATCATATGAGTCATAACTGCAATTTTTTCATCCTGTTTTTGCTTGATATAATCCAATAGATACTTTTTCAGATCAGGGTATTTTGTCTTTCATTCACAATCTTTAAGAACACATACTTTATTTATACTTAATTTTAGATTTTTTTTAATAGCTTCTAGCTCTAACTTTTGTTTTCACCATTCTTGAACTCTTTTTCGATCAATATTATAAAATAATGATATCTTATGATTAGATGTAGACTTTGTGTATAACACTACTTCAAGTTTGAATGAAACAGTATAACTTCATTTTTTGTTCACGTCTATTTGTAAAAAAAGCAAAAAATTGAAATAAAACAAATTTAAAATTAACATTTGATATGTATACTTAAATAGATATTTGTGATGTATTACAAAAAATATATACCAGACTAGTTTAAATTTCTATCTGGATAATTGTTATAAATTAATTATAAAAAATCAGTTTTTTGATTTAAATCATGATCAGTAATGTTTATTAACAAGGCAAATATGACAAGATCAGAAACTATTGATTCGATGATGCATCCAATATATAAATAATATAGCAGTAAATTCAAAGAAAAAAAAGGCTGTAAAAAAAAAAAAACCAAACCCAATTACTGAGCCAATGTCCTGCTCAAAGCAATTGAAACATACTTTCATACAGCTTATAGTTACAACAATTAATTCAGGAAAACAATAACATAGCGATAAATTCAAAGAAAAAAAGACAATAAATAAAAGTCCAAACCTAATTACCAAGCTGTTAGGGTACAACCCTAGAGCCAGTGTCCTGCTTAAGGTAATTGGGCACATCCTCAAACAGTTCACATGATGAATTCAGAAAAAAATTTCTCAATTCTTACAATAGTGAAAAAAAAATTCAAACCTAATTACTGAGCCATTAGAGTACAACCCTAGAGCCAGTGTCCTGCTCAAGGTAATTGGGTATATCTATAAATATGAATGAACGGTTTAAACAATAATTAAAAGGTCTGGCGATCTTAGTGTAGTGGTTAGGTTGCCGGACCGCCAGGCAAGAGGTCTAGGGTTCAAATCCCACTGTATACAGAATTGAATAATTACCTAGACATCTGTATCCAACTTACGGTA